TCATTGATCTAACAACAATTTAAGGTCTACCTGGCAATTGGATTGGGTCAAGACACTTCAGGTTGATTTTGGGTTGGGTTATCAAATGCTAGACCCTAACCCTAAATGTTCGAGTTAGGGTTGACCCATGGGTCCATTTTGGTCATCCCAAAAAATAATTGAAATTAAAAAAATTAAATAAAATGCCAAAATTAAAGGAATTAACTTAAAACTCCAAATATAAAAAAAAAACTTGAACATTTAACAATTCAAAGAGTAAACAATAAAGAGTAGAGACTAAATAGTAAAAATTAAAGAGTGRAAACTTCTAATGATGCATAAATAATCCCAATTAGACCTAACAATTGGGTCAGCAGGTTGACCCATGACCTAACACAACCTAGTTTTTTCCGGGTTGGGTCAGGTCAGGTCATTCTCAAATTCAGGAAGCTAAATACGAGACCCTAACCCTATTTTTTCGGGTTAAGTTGGGCCGGGTTCATGGGTTGGGTAACTTTTTGCCAGGTATAACTTAAGGTATCTTATAATGAATTTTTAGTAGATTGGAAGTTCAAACATTATTTGGTGTATTATTAGTAAAGTTATTGTATGATATATATATGTTTAGAATCTTTATATTATTGATTTTAATGCATCTTTTCATGTGACTACTAAAGTATGCATTATTATGTGTTTATACTTCATTTATAGTTATTTCATCCCTAGATTTAGGATTATTGATGTATTTGTGGGATTTGTAAGAGTTTTCCTATATATCCAAGTATATCCAGATCTTTACATTTATTATGTATGTATGTATGTGTATGTATTCAAACTTATTACAAGATAGGATATTAATATTTTGAATCTTTGACATAGATTAGAGAGGCCCCTTATGACTATTTTTTGTACAATTAGTTCTTCTGTATTTTCATATAATGCCAAATCTGTTGCGACACCTAACAGTAAGAAATTATCTAATTGCCCACATATCATTTTTGTCTTTCAAAGCAAAAAAAAAAAAAATGAGAAGATAATGTCTGTTTTTGTCATAATGGCAAAGATCATATGTTCTACCATATGGAAACTTTGGCACATCTCCTAGATGGATTAGATCCATTGATTCATTTATGGATATCACATACAATATTTTTTGGTTTAACACCACTTGGATGGGTAAAATTAAACCAATGCTATAAGACCACTTTCACGCCCTTGATTTTTGGATTGATTTGATAAATTATCTGGATGGCCTAGATTAGTGATGCAATTTAACAAGTAAGCTCTTAAAAAACACCAGATTTTATAGGAATAAAATACATGGAGTCCACATCTTTCACAGTGGGGTTCATGAATTTATTACTGGTGTGGAACCTCATCATTGATTCCACAGCTTGCGGAATAGCCAAAGCATTCAGCTAATCCAAGAAAACCTTGTAATCTCAAGTTAGAGGGGTCAAGTTCTTTCCTTTGTTTTTGTGAATCTTAGAGCTTTTATTTTTTTTTATTTTTTAAGTTGAAAGATGTGTCTTGGTGAAGAATGAGTCCTTGATTTATTTCCCTCCTTATTGTAATCTACATATTATTAATGAAATTTCAATTTCCTTCTTTTTTATTTTTGAGCAAATTTCTTCCATTTTGCTATTTCTTATTTGAATTGCATCAATTAGTTAAAATCTTGGTATCACTTGAATGGTTGACATGGATCCATCAATCTTAAGAGACCATTTTAATGGATTAGATCTATTAACCTTGAATGGGCTTTGTTGCTGCCAAATCTGGAGCCGCGGGTAGCTTTGTTACTTCCAAGGTGATGAGGTCAAGAGTCCACCTGCAAACAATCAAAAGACGTTAGAGTCCCCCCAGGGGCTAGGTCCGCGAGGACTCCAACGGTCACGCTAGCCAAGGGCTTTGGGAAGGCTGAGATCACAGTAAGCAAGAGAAGTTTGAGTGCACAAGTCTGCGTAAGGAGAATAATCTAAGGCCATGGAGTTCTTTATATAACGGGAGTTATCCAAGAGCCAATGCACTGGGCATGGTGTAACAACTTCATATGTTGGAGATAATGGAGCGCAATCCATGTGGCCGAGCATTATCTTGCCATTAATGCAGTGGGGGAGCTTGGTCATGATCACAACGTTTACGATTAATGTTCTTATCAATGTTTTAAAAAATGACCTGGAAACGGAACCATTCTGGTAATTAATTTTGGGTCGACGGTTTGATCGTCCAATTCGAACAGATGGCCGTTTTGACCGTAAAATAAAAAATTAAAAAATAAAATAAACGATAAAAAATCGTTGAACGGGTCAACGGTTCAACCGCTCAGGTCAACAGTTTATTGACTTTTTCAACGGTTTTTTACTAGATGTCGGGTTTGGGGTAAAACAGAACCGGTTGCCTGAACGCTTCCTGGGCCAAACGGTCCGACCATCCGAGTCAATGGCGGTTCGAAAACATTGGATCTTATAACGATGGCAATGGAAAATGATGAGGATACTCTTAAGTCTTAACCAAGGCCAAGATGATAATAATGCACTTTGGGCATGCCACGTGTTGTCTGCTAATGGGGTGGTCAATTATATCAGGCTTAATTGGTTAAGTTTTGCTATATAGATGTCTAAGATTAAGGGATCGATCTTGTGAGGCCATTTTGATGGTCCAAATCTTTGGCTTATTTTATCCATCGCATAATTTCATTTAGGGGACGTTCTTTTTTGGACTTTGAGAGGGGGGAAGTTGGTCAGTGAGATTTTGTGGGGATCAGTGAAAGTTTATTTTCCTAGGTATCACTTACCCGGGTAAGTGATATCCATCTCCTAGATGGGTAAATTAACTTTCCCATCTAGGGGAAGTTGCCAATTCTTGTATGGTACAAAAATGCCCCTTTAATAATGAAATTTTTATGGCTAAGATGGTCATTACCTTATTTACATGAAAAATAAAAAAACATGGATAAATACACTTACTCGGATAAGTCTTTCTTGGAAAACACTTACCCAAATAAATGCATTTATCCAGATAAGTGGCTTACCGATAAGGGAACGGGACATTAGACTTTTTAAAAATTTTGATACTTTAGTTGAATGACCAAAACTAATTGAAATCTTGTTTGGACGTCCAAATTAGTAACAAGCTTCTTGACTCCATTTATACTTGATTTATCTCGAGAGAATAGTTAATCAACTGGATCTTTAATTAGGAAATTATGACTTTTTTTTTGTAAAAATCATGACTGGCAACATCTTTTTTGGTAATATTAAATGGGTCAAGAGCATATTTGTCTTTTTAAAGTGAAACAAGAACACTTTTAGGATTTTAGAAATGTCTAACAATACATCTAATGATGATAACAAATAGGTTATTAGTCAGGATAAGAAAGTATGAGGAGTTCAGTCCACTGTTGGAGTTTTATTGATGATAATTGAAAAGGGGTATTATCCATTCCCCTGTCAAAGTAACGTTAGGAGATGAATGATTTTTTCAAATTTATTTATATTATCCCTCCATTTGAATTTTTCATGAACAAAAATTGCATGATGATGACATTTACTATACTACCCCTCCGCCTGAAATTTGGGGGTTCATCCATTCATCCAAATGGGTTTTGGGATCGTTGAGTTGAAGGAGGGTAAAAGAAGGTTCTTTTACCTATTTTCTTTTTAAATAATTATTTAAGGGTTAATTTGGTTATTAAAAATAATTAATGGCCCAACTGGACAACTTCTGCTGATGGTCATAGTGATTTTACCAAAGTTAAGTTTTAGATGGACAACAAAAATTCTTTGACAAGGGGGTTTGGAGCCTGAAGGTTTTGAAAAGTCAGGAGAAATGGGAATAGGTGAGGAGTTTTAGATAATGAAAAAAAAAATAATGATGTCTAAAACGTGGATTACCCCCGGTGTCATTTTAGATTGTATTTTAGGAGGCATAATTTATTTATGGTACTCAATATCAAATTCAATTCAAGTCTGATGTAAATTTGATGTATATATATGATTCAGTTTGAATCTGAATATTAATGAATTAAAGTTGAATCTAGGTACATGAGATTGGATAAAATCCATTTCTAAATTGTAACCCTAACTGAGTTATATCTAGATGCTCAAACCTCAACATTAAAGAAAACTAAGAGAATGAAGGATTCATATATCACCAAGCATACAAGAATGTAAAATCTGAGGAATATGTTGATGAGATACCTGTTCATCTGCTTGCGCAACTTCGCTACAGTCTACAGGGAAATGCATCATCTTGCAAATTTCAGTATCACGACTCACTCTTTTTCAAGACATCTCTAACCAATAGTTTACGCCCACGAAACTCCTGATTAAGAAACATGAAAAATGTAAGGAGGAAAAAACAAAAGAAATTATAGATAGAGAGCTAAAAGTATTACCGCTCCACTTAAAGAAATTGCAGCCTCGCATTCTGTGGCGGAAGAGAAAGAGATAAATCCATAAACACGGTTTTTCCCTCCTTTGCGATCGTATAACACTCTTGCACTGACTACAGTCCCGAATTGGCTGAAATGCTGTCTCAAATCTTCGGGCGTTACGGACCACGCAAGATTGCCAACGTAGACCTTATGAAGGCTTTCTAAGACTACGTTCCCATTGGGCGCTGAATTCACAGAATCAAGTTTCTTCCGCCAATAAATAGAATTCATTTCTGCACAAAACCTGACTCGCATTTCACGCCCTCCAACATCCTATAACCAAAGAAAAAACGATAATAGGTGATGTGTACTGGGTAGGTAAGGTCACGCTAGGGGTTGTGGCCAAGTTACCACTTACAGATCTATCCAATGCAGCTATGGCAGCTTTGGCTTCGTTCATAGAGCTCATTTTGACATAGCCGCATCCGCGACTTATCCCGGTGTCAACATTCCGAGAAACCTAAATATTGCCGATCATTGATTATGATTCCTCTCTCACAATCTCCAATTGCAAGGGGAAAAACGAATGAAAGTGGAAGAGCTAGTCGGAGAAGAACGCGTACCTCGACTGATTGAACAGTTCCGTAGGGCTTAAACATCTCCAGAAGCTCTGAGATGTCGCAACTCCTGGGAAGATTACAGACGTAGAGTTGACACGGTTTCAATCGAACCTTCAATTCTCTGAATGGGGAGCCGTCTACGATGTTCTGCTCCTTCGCCGACGTAGTTTCAGATTCAGCTAATGGTTGTTCTTGTACGACGGGTAGAGCTCTGGAAATCCTAGGTTTAGCAATTGAGCTGAGCAAAGAAATAAAGGTTTCGTGGGCGCGAGGTAGGAAGATGGAAGAGGATGCAAGAAAGCATGACAAGGTTGGACAAGGAAAGAGAAGCCAAGAAGGTGAGGAGTGTAAAGTCACGGAACACTGCTTGATTTTAGATCGGAACGGTGAAGGAGTAGATAAAGAGAAGGATGAAGCTAAGCTCCCGCGGGCAGCAGCCATTAATTGCCTTGGAAAGACGTGCCCAACCTTTAGTCTTTCTGCTCCTTCTTCAGACTGCAGACGGATAGCATTCCTTTCCCTGCCTTTCTTTTCCTGCCTTTTTTTTTTCTTTCTAACCAAACACAACCTAAAGAACATACATAGTGTTCTACTGTTCTCGTCTCACAGAGACCCTGTGCCCCGCTAGCTTTGGTTGGTCACACGATCTAAGAGATTGATTGAAAGTGTAAGAGTTAACATCCATCAAATCTTCTATTTTTTGGTCCGTTGAAAGATCCATTAAACATCAAAATGATGGAGTGAAATAGAAACAGTCATGGCAGGTGGGGCCATTGCAATACATCAAAGGCCTTCGTTTATTTCGTTGTTTCAACGTAGTGATACGACAGTAGCAGCAAACGAGGTTTGAGTAAGAAGCATCGAATCACGAAATATGGGGATTCTTAATTAATTTTTAGAGAAAATTGCAGATTTTGGGTCTAGTTTAATTTGATTCCCTAACTTCAAAAGTGACAATCCAATATCTGAAACTTTTAAAACATGACAATTTAATACCTATTAATGAGCTCATTAAAGGGACTCACTTAAATAGCTGTTTTACTTGATCTATAATTCCCAACTTTCTTACTACTATCTTTGTAACAAGCACTTATTTGCATTTGACATCCAACTTATATTAGACATTTGGTAATCTTTTTCTTTAATAAGCATTTAAATAAGTATTTGTGATTATTTTGTCCTTCATTTTTTTTTTCAATTTTTTTTATAAAAACACTTTTGTGAAAGTACTTTTATGAAAACACTTTTACGAAAACATTTTTATAATATAAAAGTAATTTTAAGAAAATACTTTTATGAAATGACTTGTAAAAGTACTTTTATGAAAGCACTTTAATAAACACTTTTACGAAAACATTTTATAAAAGTACTTTTATAAAAGAACTTTTATGAAAATACTTTCATAAAATTCAACTAGAGATAATTTTATAAGTGGTATTTTAAAATTCAACTAGAGATAATTTTGAAAAAAAAAAATTGAATAAGTGCTTATACAATAAGCACTTAAAAAAACTGGAAATTTGTGCTTAAAAAATAAGCATTTATTTCTCAAATACTAATAAATGCTTAATGGCATAAATAAGCACTTATTTTAAATAAATACTTATTTTTAAACACTCCCAAGCATGGCCTTACTCTTTTTAGTTTTTACTGAGATTGATTAAGAATCAGCCTATGAGCTTTAAAAAAAGAAGAAATGTATTCACAAGGTGCTTTAATTGGTTAGTAACTTGGTACCTTGTCTTTGTCTTTTCCATATCATAGATTTTTCCGATGATGTTTTCTTTTCTTTTTTTTAAACAACACCACAGTTCTTTAAACAGAACACAACTAAACGGTCTCTCACGGTAATCATAACTTACACATGGATCCTCTGATGAGACATGGGACTAAATATTGCCTTTATTTTTACTTTGATATGTGATATATATTTCTTTCAATTTGTTTTTGTTAATGGCTTAGACAAGTGGTGTACTCCGCGTGCACTCGGCTCCCCCGGTTTATAATGACGGATAGTTAGAATTTAGAAACGAATGCATATTGAAGTTAAAGTTGAAAAGAATTAGTAGTTTAAATTAATATTTTTAATATTATCAAAATATATAGAATATTAGATTAGAGAATACTTTTTCTCTCATAAAATATAAGTAATAACCAGTTAGGATCCATGTGATGTACAAGAAAATCCAATCCCCAATTTGATGATTAAAGGATTAAAAGGAAATATGAACCTTATATTTTTTGCCTTCCAAAAAAATGTAAGAAATCATAAATTCATATAAGTGAATAATAATATAAGTCATAATAAATATTGCTATTAAAAAAATGATTTTGAAAATCTCTAAATCAAGCTACTATATCTGCATTATTATGTAAAAATAACATCCTGACAACATCATCACTTTTTTGTTGATCTTGCAACCAAACTTTTGTAATCATCAATATAATTTAGTTAAATAAATTAAAATTTATATGGATATAATTTTTATTTGTTCATCGTGTTCGAAGATTGTATTCTTTTATAATGAAAGGATTGAACGATAACTTTGTATTTTTTTATATAAGTAAAAATAAGTTGCCTTGTTGTCATGTTGATCATGCATAAGCAATGATGTTATTTATTGTTATTTATATAAATTAATAAAATAGAAATTTAAATTACCATTGTAATGTCATACTTTCATACAATTTCTAACAATAATCGTACAATCTTCTTATTTTAATAAATTATTATTTTTTGTATTTTTATAATTTATTAATATTTTTCAATATTATTTTGAATTTAATAAAATGTTTTTTATGAAATAGTACAAATTGAACTCAAAATGACCAAATAGTCTATTTTAGGGGTAAAATAGTAAAATCAGGAAATTTCAGATGTTGAAGGTTTGGTCCAACACAAATAACCTTCTTTATTCAGAGCCTCTAAAAACTCAAAAAGCATTTAATGTCTCTTTTCAGATTTTAGACATTTTTAATATCTTTTTAACTATTTAGATTTTAGATTTATCAAATGCCACTTAAGACAATAAAACTCATTTGTCATTAAACTTGTAAAGTTTAAACCCTAAAAGAGGCATCGAATGGGATTTGGGATAGAACTGTCTTTTTTATTTTATTTCTATTTTTATTATTTTAAATTAATTTTGAAAATGACCATAAACCTATACCTGAGTCGAAATATGGTTCAATGGTTCAACTGACCCAAGGTATAACCAAATCTGGAAACTTGATTGGTTAGTTTGTTACCAATTCTAATGGTTCAACTATTTGGGTCAACATAGTTTTTAAAACCATGATTTTATTAACTAAGGATAATCTGTATTATTCTTTTCACTATTTTGTGCCCCCGTATTTCTGTATCTTTGCTTTCCGTTAATTTCCCTTGTTCTTTTTCTCCCTAATTGTATGATCAAATCCTCCCACAAATTTTTGCCATATAGAAAAGAAAGTTTAAAATTTGAATCCAATAAGAAATCTAAGCTTCTTGCTAGTTGCTAGGGCCCTAAGAAGGAAAAAACCCTTAGCCGACATAAATAGACAAAGGCAAGTACAAGTGTACAACCTTTTTTTTTTTTTCTTTTTATGTAGTTTTCATCTCATTCTAGCCTAAAACTGGTTTCCATATGGTTCTCATCAATGTCATATCCATCATTAAATTGTGGGCGCTGTGAAAAACATACTGCATGGAGTAGGATTAAAAATTCCCATCTATTTGGGAGCAACCGTTTCTTTTTTGGGAGAATGACCAATCAGCCCAGATCAGTATTTTATAACCTCAAAGTACAGGGGGAATGTATCCTGACCGTGAATTGATGCTAAATTCACGGACAGGATGTGATTTATAAGGGGGAGAGGGCTAGCAGTAAGGGGGGATGGAATTCAGAATTCTGCATCGTGTGTATTCGTACTTGTCCGTTTTTTTTTTCATTGAAAAACTCATATATTGTGCATGAGTCTAAACAATTCCATGTTTTATGTTTTTATTTTTCAAAATTCAAAAAAAAAAAAAACCATGGAATTTAGAAGGATCAAGGAGATCGCACAAAGAGTTGTTATGTGGACAATTTTATAAAAGCCTTGAGATAAAAAAAGTGACAAAATCACTCTTGGAAAATTCACAATACTATTAAACGTACGTATATATATAAGAAAGGTAATCAATGTAAACATAAATTATTAACAAGTTTATAATTAGGTAAGAAAGAAATAAACCTTATTTTTTCTTATTCTTTGACATAGAGTAAGGCCATTCTTATATCTTATTTTTAGGCCTGAAAAATTAAGGTTGAGGGGATAAGATGGGAAGTAGTAAAAAATGTAAAAGGAGAAAATATGCAAAAGATGGACAACCTCCCTGTTTTTTTCCGGCCAACCAACTTCATTTTATGTACATATATATAGATGAGCTAAATAAATAAATTGGTATGCGTTTGTTAATTTTAGACACAATTAATTACTCCGATGGATGATGTAAAGTGATTTCCCAAATCACGAATTGCGATTTCAGATCTAATCATGGGTAAGTGTTCGCACATCTCATCATGCGTCTGAGTGTTATGGTGAGATCACTGAGATGTGCGGATACAGATGATATAGGAAGAGTGTTGTGACAGTTTTTGTTAGAGAAGATCCCAACTCGATTGTGAGCCACCGTATATGAGATGTAATGTGCTGATACACATAACACATCATGTTGGAATGGAGGAGATCCGGACTGGTGTTAAGTTATGGATCCTAGATTGGGACCTACCATAGAGTGAGATCACATCTACCCCGTGTATTGATAACATTTTCAAATGATGACATGATTGATTTTTAATACTATCATCGAGAGATATTTCTAATACACGGCGGGATTGTGCTGAAGGGCGGCCCCTTATGGCGCAGAGATATGAACTCCCATAGAGTAGGCTCAGTTTTACGGTGGTCATGATTCTTTAGGACAAGTGTTTAGATATGGGCCCCAAACAGACGCTTACGGTGCATAGGTTATCAAGAGATTCCCAAAAAGTTATGAGCCAGACTGAAATAATTGATGTTTAAGGCTGCAAACGGATCAGATCGGATATGATAAGGGCATATTCGATCCGATCCGTTAAGAAAATTTGATGATCCGAATCCGATTAGAATTCGATTTGGTTAGAATTATATTTATAAAATAAAATAATATATTATTTATATAATAAAATAATATATAATATTCTATAATTAACGGATCAAATTGGGTCACAGCAGATCGGATTGGCCAATATTCGAATACGATACAGATCAGTTTTGCCGATCCAAACCGATTTATTAGGATCAGGAAGATTATTAGAATCCGCCCCTTTAACGAATGAGTATCCTAGGGCCACCTTCCCTACCCCGTTCCCGTTGTGTACCCCTTTTGCCTAAAAGAAACCAGGGAAACTATTGGCTTGGCAGCTTTGGGGATATATTAGGAAATTCGAAATTTGTCGTACCTTCTGTCTCTGTTGGACAAGCAAAAGGCAATTAGGCGGGGACAGCATGATGAATAAAATAATAAAAAAAACGACTTACGGGTTAATTAAGGGGGTACATACCTGTTTGTTTTTTAAAAATGAGTCCGACTGCTTTTTTAAAATATACTCATCAGTTTGCTGCAAACTCTCAGATTCCTGAGCCTCTTTCTTCCTCTCCCATGGCTTCGTCTCTGTAATACTCGAACAACAACAGCAGGAAGAAGCTCTGCAGAGGCATATAGCTCTTAATGGGGTTGATGCTCGTGAGCAGGCACCAAAAGAGTGGAGGCGGGCTCTCAATCAGATGGGTTTCTCTCTTCTGCATTTTGAGCTTCTGTTTTGGAGTTCTGGTCGTTAATAGGTCATTTCTCTCTTCCTTGCTTTCTCCTTCAAAATGTTGGGATCTCTTCTCTACTAGTCACTTTCCAATTTTCATTTTTTGTTGTTTTAGTTTTCTGCTTGTGCTTACTGAGCCTTTCAAATCTTCAATGCCGTTTTTTTAGCTTCCGAGATAGTGAACATGCTTGTTATTGTTTTATCGTGATTCCTGGAGATTCTTTTTTTCCCCTCTTTTCTTGGAGACAAACCCACATGCAGAATGCAATCCATAGTAGTCGGTTCTGGATTCAGATTAGATTTCCGGGATTAAAGCATATTTTTCGGGCAACCATTTCGGTGATTTGGGCTCCCTGACTTTCCCTCTATTTTGTCTTACCTCAGGATTATTTTGTTCCAACCTCGTGGAAGGGGCTTTGCTTTTATGGTCACAGAAGTTTTAAATTTGTTTATCGGTATTGCCTTTTCACCTCCTTGGGTATCAGAAGAAGCTCGTTTGATTGCAGCTATTAGTAAAAGCTCTTGAGTGCAGCTCTAATTTCCCTCGATCACAGTGGCATGTGTCAAAAGCAAACCTTGCTCAACCCTCAATTCACATTCTTTTTTTGTCGGTCCTCAGTCCTTACCTTTACCAGAAGTTTCAAGGATGAGCTATGAAACTTCTCCCTCTCCCCCTTATATTAGGTTTTGTAACAAAGAGCTCGACTAGTTCTCTTTTTTTAAATTTTGATTTTTATTATTTTTTGATAATTCCTTGGTGCCGTGATCAGGGTTGAGCATGATTTGAACAACACAGGAGGTTTTTGGTGGGTAGAAAAGGACGGACCCTAATTCAGAACAGAGCAAAATTAAAAGCCAAAACAGTGTACTTTAATCATCTAGTTAAGACGTTATAAAAAAATCATATAGTTAGGATGCTGGAAGGGTTATTTTGTTCAATGAGAGTGACTACGTGGAAATTGGATATGATTCCTCCACCGTAAAGTGAAAGTGAAGTCTAGAATTGCACTGGACTTTCTGAAGAAAATGTTTGTTACTGTTACCATTTTTCCCCACTAAGAGTGTAATTGGTTCTTACCAGGAAGTGTTGGGGTCACTTTAACTTGAAGCAGTTGGTTTGCTGCAATTAGGAAAGAATTTAGTTGACATTGCGGAGCAAAACTAAATTGCTCCTGCTCTCTTGAAATGCTTTTGTATAAGTGAATTTGTTGAAAAATGAAGCAAGAATGAGGTGGCATTGTTGATAACTGATAACTCTGAACAAGATGATGAAGTGATTGAAGTTTTGGCTATTCCCATAAAAGGGTTCTTCTGTAGGTTGATAACACTCTTACTTGGGCATGGTACTGATGCATGTTGTCAATCCCTGATATTTGAGAAAATGTTAAAATTAGGTTATATGTCATGGCACTGGGCCACTGGCAATACTTCTTAGGATTTGGCTAGCATGAGAGTCATCACATATTATGGTCTAACAGTATCTTCATTTTTAGCATAGAGAATAGAGTCTACCTAAAGAAAAAGATTATCTATTTTAAAAATCATACTGCTCCATGTATCTCAATTGGACCGTCCCATGATAGTCACCGTCATGTTAGATTTTTCTTTCTTTCTTTCTTTCTTTTTTGTATACTTCTTATTAGCTCAACAGGACCAGGAGCGTACATGATCACTATTGTCCATCTCCATCTCCTCACTTCCTTTATGTCTGTCTTTTTGTTTATTATACCTTTTCTTTTATTTTGTTAAAAGCTTATCTCTGAAAACATTAGTACAATATCAAGTGATAAATATTACAATGGTAACAGGTTTATGTTGCATCGGTTTCAGGCTGGGTCCAACCTAACCACAGTGAACTCAATATCGAATAATTTACCCAATGCACCTTGACCATATAATGTTCAGTGGGGATTGTGATCAGGGAACTACAAAATGGGAGTTAATAAAAGCTTAAGAAAGGATAAAAGAAAACAAAAATTCAGAGAAAAATAGATAAATGTTATATTGGTATGTCTATTGAACTGGGGCCCATAGAAATTTCTATGAAGGGGGTGATCTGCAAATTCAATCTTTTGAATTATCAATAGGCATTGTTTCATTTGTAAGATTGCTTCAAGTTCTATGGTCATTCTTACTGAGTATCAATTAAGTGCGTAAAGTTGTTGATGACATTTATTAATTTCCTTAATTTTTGTCATGAATAAATTTATGTTAAATGTGACACAAACCTTATATTTATGGTACAGAGAACTCATGATGCTGTCGTTCTAGCATCTATATCTTTGTTGTAATGTTATGGCACTTTTGCAGTTGTGACATTTAAGATCCCATAACTAGGGTCCTTTACTCAACATTTTATGGCACTCTCTGTATGTGCAGGGACAAGGCTGCATACATCTGTCCCTCCCCAGACCTTGCATTGGCGGGAGCCTTATGCACTGGGGTGCCCTTTGAACTAGGGTCCTTTACTTAGTGATGGCCTTTCTGTGTCAACTCTCCTCTTAAGATGTAACTTGTTTGACTTATATGTATCTTGTTCCCAGTAAATATTGTAGACCATATATTCACAGGCTCTTACCCCTCATTTTTCCGCATTCCAAAGTTAATGAGAAATCCTAGTAAATCCTACATAGAGATATCCATATTCTCTGGTTAAAACTCTCATATTTTCAGTTAAATGATATTTATTTTGTATGGAATAAATTTAGATTAACTACATATGCTTAACTACAGGTTCTGGGGCATTTCTGATCCAGCTAAACTAGACAATAAAGCTTCATCACGTCAAGAGCAGAACCTTGAACTAATTGCTAATTGTGAAAAGAAGGCAAGCTAGAAAAATGATAATGATGCATGCTAATTTGAATTCATTATCTTGTATAAATTATTTCCTTGGCCCTATTTCAGGAGGCTTCTATTCAGACCGGAGATATCCTCACTCAAGTTTCTCAAACACATGATGTAATCATGTACATTTCTAAGTCGTTCTAAGTACACGTTTCAATTTTGGCTACTCCTTTCATGATGTTTTCTCCTTCATTTTCATTTTTACAGTCATGGTTGATTCACTTGAAAATCGTTTCATGTGTTCTTGAGTTCCATATTTCACTACTTTCAGGACTTTGGACAAAACAATCTCCTCTCTGGAAATGCAGCTCGCTGCAGCTAGAGCTGCTAAAGCAGATAATCAAGAAGGATCTTCAGTTGATACAAAGCTAGGAACTGAGCAATCTGAGCGCCAGAAGTTGTTCTATGTTATGGGAATCATTACTGCATTCAGCAGCAGAAAGCGCCGGGATTCGATCCGAGAAACTTGGATGCCCCAAGGTTCAATCCTCATGCGCGCCTCTTTAATTAGGCATCAATCAGAGCAAAAGTAAAACTAAATGTAGAGATATTATCTATTTTTCTGAGTTCTCTTTTCTATTTATTTCCAGGAGAGGAGTTAAGGAAGTTGGAAAAGGAGAAGGGTATTGTTATTCGGTTTGTTATTGGCCACAGGTAGTATGTTTATCATTTCTAATTATGCTAAGTTATTACTTGCTTCAACGTCACAGATTGACAGGATGCATTGGTTTTCTTTTTATGAACTATAGTGCAACCCCAGGTGGTGTTCTTGATCGTGCTATTGATGCAGAAGACGAGCAACATAAGGATTTTCTGAAACTGGTTTGTTAACTATCAATTGCTGAGGACCATTAAGTTGCAAACTTCATCTCTGCATCAATTCAAATCACATATACAAGGTTTTTATGCTGAGTTTAACTGATTTTATTTGCAGAACCATGTAGAAGGGTACCATGAGTTGTCTTCAAAAACCCAGATATACTTTTCAACAGCTGTTGCTAAGTGGGATGCTGATTTTTATATTAAAGTAGATGATGATGTCCATGTCAATCCTGGTTAGCCTGCACCCTTATTTGATCAATCTCTACTTCTAAGAAAAGCATGAATACTTGAATTGATCAATTTTAGTGCAATTAATATGCAACAGGTATGGTAGGTTCAACTTTGGCACGCCATAAGTCAAAACCTCGTGTTTACATAGGCTGTATGAAGTCTGGCCCTGTCCTGGCACAGAAGTAAGGCTGGCAAATCCTGAGAACTCATCAATTTGGGTAGACATACCTATTGCATCTTTATTTGATTAATCTCTACTTCTAAGAAATTCTGACATTAGACATACCTATTGCAACACTGGTCATGTTATGCAGAGGAGTCAAGTATCATGAACCAGAATACTGGAAATTTGGTGAGGAGGGAAATAAATATTTCAGACATGCAACTGGACAGTTGTATGCAATATCCAAAGATTTGGCTACTTATATTTCAGTTAACCGGTGAGCCAGTACTCTTACTATCAGTCTATACTTTGTACATAGTCCTAATATTGTTTTAAGTACATCTTTTTTCTTTTGTAGGCACATCCTCCACAGATATGCAAACGAAGACGTTTCTTTGGGTTCTTGGTTCATTGGTCTAGATGTTGAGCACATTGACGATAGGAGCCTCTGCTGTGGAACTCCCCCTGGTAATTCTTGTTTAAAAGCCATTGGTTTTCTTCCCTTCTACTCAAACTCTCCAAATAGTTACACTGTTTGATCATTTTAGTTAGTTTATTGATAGGGCATTAGATGACTTGTTAGAAAGTTTTTACTATTTGATTACTCATCTTTATCTATTCTGCAAACACAACACAAGCTTTTAAATATAAACATAGGTTCACGTACTCTAAATCATAGTTGTCAAGGCAATGCCTAGGCGACAAGGCGCCCTTGGAGTCTCGCCTCGCCTAATCGCCGAACAGTTTTCTGTAACATGTTATAACAAACTTTTATATTCTTAATTTTTTGAGGTTATAATTATAAAATAGACATTTTAAAACTAAAATATTCATTTTGTGTGTTTATATACTAATTTCTTTTTGTTATTTTCTTATTTGTTAAGGTTTAATCAACACAAACATTGCTAAATGCTGTATTGTACCCTCAAAGACTTCAAAACCTGAACCAATAAGTAAGAAAGAACATAAAATGTTGTCCAATCAACACATTTTCTTCTCTTTCTTTACTAATTTTGTGTTTTTATATACTAATTTTTCTTCTTCTTCTTCTTCCTCCACCTTTTCTTTTCTTCTTTTCCTATAACAGAAATAGGGATTCAGCCCCTATATTTTTCGAATTTTCTTTTCTTCTCATGAATATGATGGAATATGTTGATTTTCTATACTTAAATATGAAGTTTATACTTTTCTTGTGAAAATTAGGGATATTTATTAAGGAAATGTGATTATGGAACCTAGGGAATTACCCTATGATACATGTTTTTACTTAAAAGAAAAATCCATTGCCTAGGTGACTAGGCGACTGGGCACCCCCCGGTCACCTAGCCTTGCCTTGGCACCTTGAAAACTATGCTCTAAATTTAATTCAATCCATTCAGAAAAAAAAAGAGGGTTAATGGACTTCAGATACTTCGAACTCTCCTTAGTGTTGCCATCAGGATCATGGTTACTAGTTTCTGCCGTTTGCATGATGTTGTACTTGGTTGCATGAGGTTGCTAGTTCAAACTATACAGTTTGTCCTTTTACAGGAGCAACACTGTTAGGCTTATAATATTGTTGCAATGCAATTGCAAAGAAGTCATCCTTGAAACAGTACTAACTACCAAAAAAGATAGATAATATTCATACTTATTCCTTGCTTTGAGCATGGGTGGGTACACCTTTCTGATTGAAAGGTCCTTTTTTTGGCCGGAGAAATTCAATCCCCAGAGCTGAAGCTGTGACTAAATATAAGAGTAACGCATTTAATCCTTGCTTCCATATCATACAGGGAACTGGTGTTTTGCTTACGTTTTATTAAAATTATTAACTCGCAGATTGCGAGTGGAAGGCCCAAGCAGGCAATTCTTGCGGTGCATCATTTGATTGGAGCTGCAGTGGCATTTGCAAATCAGTGGAGAGGATGGAGGAAGTACATCAACGCTGTGGTGAAGGTGATGGGGCTATCTGGCATGCCAACTTCTGAATCTCTCTTTGTAATATATTTAGGTGTTACCTGTTACTGAAATCATGGTTTAAACGTTTCTATTTCACCCGAATTTTGCATATTGATGTTTCGGGATAGCTGTTGGGTCTTCAAATCGATTTGTTGCACATCTCTCTCTGGCTCAATTGGGAAATATTGTAAATACAAATATGTCAAAGTGCAAAGCCTTCTTTGTAAACTCAAGTTTGGAAAGAATACAAATACAAATATGTACAGTACAAATACATAGAAAGTAATATAAAATATAAAGTTTTGCACTCTACATATTTGTATTTGTACATTTTCCAAACTGAACATACAAATCTGTACAGTACAAATATATAAAAATGATACAAAATATTAAGGTTTTGCACTCTACATATTTGTATTTATACTCTTCCAAACTGAGCCTAAAGTTAAGTGGTCTACGCCAGTCAGTTTGAAAGACCTTAAAAATTTTGTTAATTTTAAAATTTTTGGTACAAAAATTGTAGGCTAATGTGGTTTTACTAAACTACCTTGTAAAAACATTTAACAGGTAGGATTGAGGGAAAAACTAAAGGGCAAAAATACCCTTTAAATGTTCTGTAAATTTTCAGAACATGCATTTAACTTGTAAATATGGAAATTGGTTATCTTTTTTCATTTTTCCTGGAGTTCACTTTTAATATGTGATTAACATTATGGCATTGTCATCAAACTCTAAAGGGGTGTTCGTTTTTTTTGGATTTTGAGAGGGGGAAAGTTGGTCAATGGGACTTTGACCAAGAAACGTAAGTTCTTTTTTCAGATTTATGTGGGGACCAAGGAAATTTTATTTTTCTGGGTATTATTTATCCGAGTAAGTGATATCCATCTCCTAGGTGGTTAAATAACTTTCCCACCCAGAGGGAAAGTTGCCAACACTTGAATGGGACAAAAATGCCCCTTCTAATAATTGTTTTTTATGGCTAAAATGGTCATTGCCTTATTTATATGGGTAAATGCACTTATTCGATTAAGTCTTTCATAGGAAACACTTACCTAGGTAGATAACTTACCGAAAAGCGAATGGGTTTAAATAAAAAATACTGGAAGCCACGAATGGTTATCTTGTTGGCAAATCCACTTGTCCCCCCTTGTTGCGGGAAAGAGATGTTGGTCAAGACTTAAGAATTGTCTCTTTGTGGAAGAGACTGAAGCAATCCCAATCATGAACACCTTGCTTTTGTGTCAATCTCTTGATACAATCTGTTATAATACTTGCAATTATTTGGATTCAGGAGAAATCAGCTATGCCCGTGGTGCCTATAATGGAATATGTTGTCTTCCTATGGAAAAACAAATATACAAGAGGATTTTTTTTTGATAAAAATATACAAGAGGAAATTAAGGCCATATTTGGTTCAATTCTCATTCTTTCTTATTCTTACCTAAGATGAAATTCTTAAATGGACAAGAATGGGTAAAAATAGGCAGAATGAGAAAATATTGCTATGAATCAAACATTTTTTTCCTAAAAATGAATTATTTCAGATTGATAAGTGTCATATGTTGCTCATTTTCATTCCTCAAGAAAAAAAAAAAAAACTGTGCCAGTATTCATAAACCGCCAGCCTAGGTCTCTAAAATTGTTGGCATGGATGTTTACTAGTGGATGGCCGATAGTTAGGGTTGTCAATTAGACTAGATTTGGTCAAATCTGATCCAGTCCAATATTGGTCCATTTAAAAATGGGTTTGACCAAATCTACATAAACCAAGTCCAATCTAATTCAAATAAAGTGCAAATGGATAGGATTGGGTCCAATCTAATCCAAATTGGATCAAACACCAAAATAACATGAGAAATCCAGAAAATGTATAAAAAACTACAACACCTGCTATAGTTCAATCTAGTCTAATTAAACTACAAACGGATTGGGTTGGGTCCAATCTAATCCAAAGTGAATGAAAAAAAGTACTTTTGCAAAAGTGTTTTCATAAAAGTATTTGATAAAAGTGCTTTCGTAAAAGTATTTTCATAAAAGTGAATTTGTAAAAATGCTTTTATAAAAGTACTTTCGTATAAGTGATTTTGTAATAGAACTTTAGTAGGAATGCTTTTGTAAAAGTGCTTTTATAAAAGTGCTTTTGTAAAGGTACTTTCATAAAAGTGCTTTTATAAAAGTAGTTTCGTAAAAGTGCTTTCATAAAAGTACTTTTGTAAAAGTGCTTTGTAAAAGTAATTTACTTTCATCCTAAAAGTATTTTTATAAAAGTGCTTTTATGTAGAAGTACTTTATATAAGTGCTTTCATAAAAGTACTTTTGTAAAAATGCTTTCGTGAAAATACTTTTCATAATATTACTTTTATAAAAGTGCTTTTATGCTAGCTTCAGTTTTGATCCAATTTGATAAGGTTTGGATTGGATTGGACCCGGTCTATTGGCACTCCTACTAGCAGTCAATGTTTGACGAGGTGAGTTTTCATTGTAGTCCGCTAGTAAACATCTATGACAGTAGTTTTGTAGGTAGATTTTCCTCAAAGAATGAAAATAAGCTACCTCAATTTTATGCTATCGGCTGATTTTTTATTTTAAAAAGAATGTAACCGATGGGAAGAATTTTGTAACTGAACTGTTTCAAATTTTTGAAGTGAACAAAAAGAAAAGAAAAAAAAACCATGGTTTTGAACTTCCAAAAAGCATGTTCTTAGTTGTTACCATGAGTGTCATCAGTTCCCAGTAAAACTTGTTTCCATGAATCAATACAATCAGCAAGGAAACATACTGAACAAGATGTAATCTCAACACGAACAAGATATTATAAACCTAAAGGAATTCAACAGCGCATAAATAATCTGAATCATATTGAAAGAGACTTCAAATGAAACATCAAAGAATAAGGAGAAAAGTGGGAACAAGGAAACAATTCAAAACTTCTAAATACACCATAAAGATTAAAGACAGTCTAATCAAGAGAATGGTTTTCTGATTAGAGGTGTAAATCGGGTCATGCCGCTCATGGCCCAGCACGAACTTGGACCGACCCGACATGACAGTCTGCAGGCCATGCCAGGCCTAGCATGATAATGTGGGCCGTGCTAGGCCTAGGGTTTTAGGTCCACGGGCCGGCACGGCCCAGCACGACTCATATATATTATTTATATATATTATATATATTTATATAATATTATATAAATTATAATTATACAATAATATATAATGTATAATATATTAATAAAATAAATATTTTTAATTTTTATTATACTAATTTATTTAATTATTGTATATATAAACAATTTTATACACACAATTCATATAAAATTAAAATTTTAAGTTTTTTGTCATTTTTTTAAATAAATAGCTTTAGCCAGATGCACAGCCCAACCTAACCCAAGACTCGACACACGGGCCAGCCCTACTTGTGGCACGGCACAGCACGGCACGGGCCCGCACAGGCCTGGGCCATGGGCCGTGCCGAGCCAACCCCCAAATTTTTCACTGGGGAGGCCGGCACGACCCACTTTATACCTCTATTTTCGATACTCTAAGAAGCATGAGGCAGAGCAATCCCGAACGGATTACGTCTGGTTACCTAGTTTGCACTAATGGGGTTGGCATGGGAACCGCCCCTTCTACGGTGGTAACGATAATAATAATAATAATAATAATAATAATAATAATAATAATAATAATAATAATAATAATAATAATAACAATAATAATAGATTGTTATTTAAATAAATATGAAACAATTTTTGATAGATTAATTTCCTAATTCAGTTTTCCTAAAATTTTTAATAATTATTTAGTTGAATAATAATAATAATAATGGACTATTATTTAAATAGTTTTAGAGAATATATTTTTGTAGATTTATTTTCTAATTTTCTAATTATTATTTATTTAAAAAATTATGTATTATTAGTTAAAGAGTTTCCCTAAATTATTTGATAATTGTTTACTATAATTACTTATTTTATAGAAATTAGTAAATTATGTCAATTAGTAGTATCTTTTATGAATAAAAAAAAATTGTTGTAAAAATTTAATGAAAATTTCTTAAATTACAATGATTAATGTAAATTATGCTAAACATTAAAAATTTGAACATTTATTAATTAACCAATGGTTAGTATTCACTAATGGTTGGTCAGTTTCAAGTGACCAACTCCCTAACCCGACCAGATCAGTTTGGCTAGCCAAACAATTTTCAACCGAACTGAATTGCCTAGAGAACACTCCTAATTTCAGCAAAATTAATAGTCTAATCTCTAACAAACAACAATAGTTTAATCTCCAATAATTATTGAAAATTTATAGCAAAAATACACAATTGCTGAAAATATATTTATAACGAAAATACAATAAATAACTAATAAAAGGATTTAATACCTCTATGTTAATTAATGTACTTTCACTATTTCAATATTATTTACTTTTTTCATTTATTTATATTTTATATTCATATTAAAGTTACCATAAAATTTTGTATTTTAATCTATTTTTTGTTTTTTAAATAATGTTTAAAATATGATTTAGTATTCAACTCTTTAAATTGAAAACATTTAAAATTTATTTAAAAATAGTATATAAAACATAAATAATACCTTGCCCCACCCCAAAGAGGGTAAGTTTTCTGAAGTCTTAAATAGGGATGGGGAAGAGATAGGGTGGGGATGGGGGAAATATTTTTGCTCCAAATTAGGGATGGGGTTTGCATATAATTCCCCAAACCCAAAGGTAAATTAGTAAAATATTAGTAGATTTAATATTGACTTTTAAAATATCTTTAAGTTTTTCCTCATGTTCTTATAATCCTAGTATTCCACAATTTCATTTATAAATACCCCTAAATTGTCATAATCCAATTCCTAAAATACCCCAAATTTCCATAATACTATTTGTAAACTATCCACAAATTAGATTACTTTTAGGTGGTTGCATCGAGGTGGGGAAAATTTGGGGATTCCCCACCCCCAACAGGGAATGGGTGCCCCGCCTCCAACCCACCCCGCCACTGGGACGAGGCTGAGATGGGTAAAGTGTCTTGACTAAAGGGGTGAGGGACAGGGAGGGGTGCCACATTCGTGCATCGCATGGGGCCCCGATAGTTATAATTACTTTTGTGCTTTTGATAATTTTTTAAAGTTATAACATAATCTT